AACAGTGAAGCACAGTTGTTGAGCAACACAAAAGTGCAATCTGATATTCCTGTGAAGGACTGTTGCTGCAGTGCACAACACAACACAGCTGTGCTTCTTTGAGGTCTTCACCAAATGACCCAAAGAGTGACTTCAGCATAGGAGGGTTAACGTAGAAGAGCACGGTCGACTTTCACTTGTGGTTGTCCTTCTTCCTACTGCGAAGTGTTGCACTTGAATCCATAACAAGTCCTCATCAAAGTCCATCATGAGTTCATTACAAAAGGAATCCAGCTACAGTACATGACAAAGTCATGCACTGTTCAAATATGGTGACAAACACATTCCTCTGTCTGTCATGGTCCATCTTTTTACGAAGATAGATCCAGTGAATGGACCTTCTGACTGGACACATCAAAGGACGAAAGAGAGTTCCCCCCATAACCTGTTGGCAGACAAACAGCAGCCTTGGTGTACAGAGTCGGCCGTAGGTCTGGCACTCCTTCCCTACGGATGCTTCCTTTAGGAGGCTGGAGATGGAAGGAATCAACTTCTCCCTGCATATGCAAAAAATGCAAGTTTTTCTCAGCATTTCACGGAGTTAAGGATGCATGGCACACAATTATACATTGATGCTACTGTTCAGGATGTAAACACTGCAATTTCCAGGCTTGGTTCAATGTTCATGCTTCTGTGTCCATCATTCAGTACCTTTCACCTGTCTTCATTCTACACACCCTATTCTGAAATCGTAAAAAATTCCAGTTTTTATCTTCTCATTTGTTTGTTCGCTGTTACTCTATCTATTGTTAAAGAGTCATACAATTTGCTCTGTGTGATTATTCTGCCATTCTCATTATGGGATGCCCCTTTTACCACTTTCATATTGTATTTACTGTCATGTAATTTTTATTCTATAGCCCTTTCTTTTCGGTTACTCTCTTTGCTGACCTCAAGTTCTGAAGAGCTCTGAACAGCTGGATGTAGCTGGTATCAAAAGTGTTCTTGGGGTGGACGACCTGACGAAACACAGAAGATAAAGAACAACAAACAAAAGTCAATAGAATGTTGTGATAAGCTACAGAAGACAAATGATAACTTTACAACTTGCAGTGGAAAGTCATTTGACAGCTTTCGGAATAAAAATGTCTTAGTGGAGGATTTTCTTTCTATCCATCTGCACTGTGTTATTAAAGTAAGGTACCGTATGTTAACTGGTTTCCTAGGTTTTGCAATCTTGGTGTTATCACAAAATCTATGCAAGACCATTCACAAGTGCCAGGTTGAACAATGACAAAGGAATGCTTTTTTTGCAATTCATTTGAATAGCTTGGACTTGAAATCAGACTGGAGGTCTTGTGTTGGTCTTGTGCAGGTCTAGTGAAGGTCTTAAGTGGCCTCGACTAAAGTGGAACGCCGCTAAACCGAACACCGCTACACCGAACATTCGGCTGTACTGAACATCGCCCTTGGCTCCCAATAATTTGTGCACAGAGCCTACCAAACACTATTCAGTTGCCGTTTGTAATTCCCGAACGTCAACATGATAAAACAGTCAGTGTTTTTTATGTTTGAAAGTGACAAGCGGCCATTATTTCCCCAAGGATTAGAAGGGAAAGCCACTAGTTGTCAATGGTATTGAATTGACACTGGTTTTGCGACTCCACATGATCGGGTGCAGAAGAAAACTGCACGTACGCGCACGGTGGCATTGCACTAACAATACAATGTAGTCTAAAGAGGACGCCGCTGATACACAAATCAACCGAGATTCGCCACAGCATCAATCCTGAGCGGTAGTTTCACGACTTTTAGGATAAACTTGATATCAATTTTTTGACTCAAGTTTAAATAAAAAACAAAAATAATCGCCAGATACATTTCTAGAAAGCTTAAACTTGAATGCAACGGCAAAACATCACGAAAACAGCAAACCAAGGTATCACAAGAGGGTGCACATCGGTTAGACAAGAGAGGGCACTATTCAACATGGAAACAAAAAGTTCGGCAGTTAAATTCGCTATACCGAACGACCACTGTACCAAACATTTAGTGTGGACCACGTCTTGTTCGTTATAGCAGTGTTCCACTGTACACCACTGTACAAGATCAATTCCAAGAATTCAAAAATTGTACAAATTCTTTCATATACTGAATGAACCTGTTTGTTTTCTATCTGCACCATTTTGTCCTGTGAATCTTTTATACAGTGGGATTTCTTTTTAACACATTTCCATTTTTGTAAATTCTTCTAATACTGCCCAATGTATCGCATTGTATTGAACTTCATAGCACAGGCTCACCACCATGAGATGACACACAGTGAACATGAACAGCAGAGCCCTGGCATGGCTCGTCGCGTGGTCCTTCCAAAACGCATGGCAATCCTACAGAGGAAACATTTTGAATTACACGTACATATAATTGTTGAAAAAATAATGGTTATAGCTGAAAAGTAACCAGAGTGCACCATATGTACACTGTACATGTGTACACAACGGTGCATTGTAAGCATGAACTAATATACATGTACAAAAAGGCGAATGTGAGTTTTCTGCTCCTGCAAGAATGGAAAAGGAAAACTAAGTACATGTATGTTTTTATCTGCCATATCATGGACCTGTCTCGGATGTTTTTCGAATATTTTTCATGTTCTTGACATATTTTCACTGCGCTACATATCGGCAAGTCTCAAAGAAGAAAACTGACCTTTCAAAAAGCAAACAAATCATACACTAAAACACACCAAACAAAGCACTAAAAAGCTATATTGGCTTTTAGCTATCTTTACACAGTGCTAAAACCTGTTAAAATATTACCAAAAAATAGGTATATATTTGAGACTAAACTTACTGCATGTGAAAGGTTCTGCTGCATTTGTTGACAGATGCGTGAGAGTATCACTGTGTCATGGATAGACAGAAGGTGAAGGTAGAGCACCCTAGAATCGGCATCATAAAAGCACTCAATGTTGCACTGGTTCAAAGAATGGAAAAACAGAACAACCGTATCAACTACCCTATGTCCACAAACTTATGTTTTTTAAATTGTATTAAACTAACAAGCTGATGTTAATTAAAATAAGCGAGAACAATTTAATTCCAACTCTCTTGTATCACATGCTGCAATAACTACCACTATTTTATGTACCTTATAAACAAACTTGTGACGTCAAGTCTCATTTTCTTTCCATGAAGTGAGGGTGCTTTGTACCCGAACAACAATAAAGTTCAAGACACTTGATAACAAACACATTGATGTGTTGCAAAACAATATCCAACGGCCCTTCAATGGTCGTGGGGGCATATAGTTCCCCCCTCACTTTTTTTGGGGGGGGGTTGAGAAAAATGTATAAGGTATTCATTAGCAATGAAAAGTGAGAGTAATGAAAAAAGCTAATATGCTGCTATGGTGTAAGGTTCAGGGGTCAAGAAGTATATCTGTGTCATGAACGGTGACCCCAGTGTCATGGCGTCACCACTGACTACATCTATCTGGTTTGGTGGAGTTTGGATGATGAGGGCTTGTTAGTCAAGTTAAATGATATTACAACAATTAGTGATACTTGTAGCCATCAGTAATGGCTAAAGGCATGTTTTTACCATGAACAGTACATGTATAACTGTAAAACTTGAACAAAATGACTGCAGAACATGGTAAATGTGAACATGTACTTACACTATCAACCTCTGTCTTCTGAGGGCCGAAATCAGGATTCTGTTCAGATCAACAAAACAAATCAAGTGTCTTAGGTAGCATGTTATCCTCAATCAGATTGTTTATAAGTTAAAAAATCAGCTAGAAATTCTGCCAGAGGATGACTACATGAGATGTAACCATAATAACATTTTCCCATGGTCAATCAAAGCGCTTTTGGGCCAGAATACATGTACAAGTCTTGGCACTCAACAAGATTTCCCATGTCAGGTAGTTTAAGAGACCTCTGTACTGACGGCACCACACTTTGTTTGATATGGTTTCATATGGCACTCAGTCGACTGTGGGCCCCATTGGCTCCACAGAAAAAGATTTAAACAAACTGTGGCATCGTCGTCCATAAAGAAACTCTGGGTTATTCATGTACCCATGATGGTACATGTACCCCCTTGTCATTACCTGGAAACTGTTTGTCGTGGTGATGCCATTTAGCATCAGTCCTTTTGCCCTCTGGCTCTTTCCAAAGACTCCGACGACACAGATCTTTTCATTAGACTCTGGTGTGCTGCACAGGAGGAACAGAAAATGGAAAGCCATTGGTAAAATGCTTTCACATGATCAGTGGCGAGTCGCCACAAACATTCTCAACAGCATAATGCAAGAAATGATGATTTCAATTTAGTGTAAAGCAAGATCCATGAAAGATCTTTGCAGTAAATTACATTAAAATTAACCCAAATTGAATATGTTGTGTGGGTTAACCAATTCACTGATAGTTGGGACGATCTAAACTGGAGTGTAGCACTTAGGCTAGCCAAAATGTATACGCAGTTAGAAGTTTTGATCGATGTTGACAGCTTAAGGCTTCCAACCTTTCTCACAGACACGTGTGCTATCCATCATATGCCTTCTCCTTGTACATCTCATCGAGGACAAAACCACATGGCCATGGGCTGACATTAACTAGTGGACTTGAATGAACCACAGTGGCAATTTTACAGAAGCATCAGAACAGTTGCCAAAAAAATGACCTCTTTGTTCTCTTGTACAAAGTACCAATTTTTTAATCCTACAAAACCTGTAGGCTCTTCTTTATACATGTAATTGAATATTTTGCTTCATACCTGCTACTTTGGATGCTGTGTTCGGGGTAAAATCCAATGCTTTCATTGGTTTAGTGTGTGAATTTGTTTGTTTTTGGAGGGTTAATGCTGCACATTTCCAACTAGCACTCGGATATTGCCAGGTTATGACCAACTGTTATGACCAACTGTTATTCTAGAGTCCTAGCTAAGGCAAATGTCAGTCACTTTGGCATCTACATGTTGCCATCTACAGGTACCAACTTAGCATCTTGTCAACTTGGCATTTAAAAAAGTCAGCACCTCGGCATCCAAATTTTACCTCCCAAATAATAAGATTTTAGTAAAAGTTAGCAATATGACAACAAAACACGATTGTTACAGAGACAGACTATAACTTTTTGAGGTCCGCCAAGAACTTATTATTGACAAGAAGAGGAAAATTGAAATAAACATCCACCTAGCAAACCTCATCAAACACCAGACATTGTCAATGACAGTTGATAGTCACAGCAAACCAGCCACGTGGCCAGTGATTGTTACGACGATGAATGTATTTCCTGCTTGGGAGACAATATCCTAACTTGAAGACTGATAGTTTGTTACTGTTTTAAAATTAAATTTTTAAAATTCTATTTATAATATTTTGTTTTTATTTTTCCCAAAATTTCTGCTAAACAATCAGAGATGTTGCAAGCACAGTAGGTCCATGCTCCTACACATAATGAACACACTGGATATGGTGATGAATTGGCCGTGTTCCAAGTTGACAGGGTGTCGAGATAGTGGGGTGCAAAGTTGGCACCTATTGTTAAACCACAACTGACTGTTAACAGAAGGTGATTTGTAGAGTCTTTGTCATGCTTTAGACCTATGGAATGGAACCTGTTAAAAGGGTACAAGTCACCACCACATGGGCTGAGAAACATGAAAAACAAACGTTGTGGGATAACCGTGACAAATGAGCTTCCTGATAATGATTTCACTGACATTTACAATCTCAGTCCAACAGTTTAAGACAACATACACTGTACTGTATATCATCTCTCTTAGCCCCAGTTTGGGGCAAGTCTACTGGACTCCCTCTGCATGATACAAATGCCGAGGAAGTCCAGCAGACTGGACCAACTGTAGGCTAGTGCCTGCCGGTTAACATGGCAGTTAATAGGGACGCGCATTAATGATGAGGGCACTGCTCATTTGGGAACTCATTTTCTCCAGCAAGAACATGAGGAAATCGTGATAAAATTTTGTCTTTTTCTGCATGTTTTAGCTCCTCTACTTAATTTCTGATTTAATTTTTTTTAATTTCAAGTGAAAAAAACCATTTATTTTATTCAAATAATGCATGAATGAGAACAAAGATTTCATTCTTGCAGTCAGAGGTTGTTCCATTTATTGCACTTACATTGTACGTCTGAACAGAGGCGTAACTCTCCATTCACTTTGTACAGGGATTTGCATGTTTTCTTACTTTTTTGCTGCAACATGATAAAAATAACTGAAACCTGTTCGGTACAGTGTGGGAGATATTCGTAGTGCATAAACACGATAAACAGTGAAATTTCAGGAACATTTTATCATGTTGATGTAAAGGTTAAGGTCAGTGATTCAGTTTTTCCCATGGACCATGATCGCAACACTATATTTGCCCCTTTGACGAGTTTGAGTTTCGAGTTTTCAATATTGAATAGCCACTAGTAGGCCTAAGCCTTTGTTTACGTTTCATGTGCAAGCTCAAAAGACTTAATAGAGCAGAGGGCAACAAATTTATGACTGGGAGTGAGGTGGACATCAGACCCCACAGTTCTGGGGGTAATTCATAACAATGTTGAGTAACCAAGGTAACACGGAACCATGGTAACACTTAGCGAATGGATGCTCACGATTGCTATTGTTGTTTTTGTAGACAATTTGTTCCCGTCTTTGTTCACTTAGGCCTAGGCATGCCCTACATGCACCTCAAATGTAAAGTTAACATGGCAGCAGAGCGGGAAATAGGCTTATTCAAAGTTATTGTTGACCAATCAGAGAGAAGAATCAAGGCTCAGTGATGAGAGAACGAAAAAATGAATTTTTGCTTTTCGGTAAAAATCAACATATCCACACTCACCTAGGTCACCTGACCATGCTGACTTGTCCTCCTGCTCTAGTTCTAGGCCTACAGAAATTTAGCTTGATCTGCATTTGCCCCTAGCCCCACTAGTGTGGCACGGACTATCACTCCCGATCTATCCTTATGGATTGGGAGTGAGAGTCCGTGCCACACTAGTCGGGCTACATTGGCCCCCTAACCATGCTAACCTTACTGGGATAAGACCTACAATACGTGCAAATCATCCCAAAACATCATCATACAAAATCCAATCGTACTCACCCAGTATTTGAAAGGAATGAAAGGCGGAACCAACATTTCTTAAAATCTACAGCCATTTTCAAACACGTGTCAAACTCCTTTTTTCTTGCAAAACCGGCTTTGATCTTTCGGTCAATGCGGACATACATGTACAAGATGTTGCAGGCAGATGATCATGACGGAAGGTCAAAAGTGTAACCTTTGAACTCTGTATATTCGATGAGTCGAATATGAGAGAGGTGTGTTTCAACGAAAGCAATAATTGATCATAATTAATTATATCCCTTATGATACCATACTTAACACTCTTTACTGAAATCTTGTATTACTTACTTTTATTACTTTTAATTTTGGTTTCTTACTGTCTTTTCAAGTTTAATGCATCATCGGTTATCAGTTTTTTCCCGCATGATTTCGGTTGTTCCATTTCTGACACACCGAGTTGTCAGCAAGTTGTGTGCCAGGCCTCAGGCAGTATGCCCGGCCGGTGTCACAACACTGTGTAATGCTTACCAATATTCATCTCCCTCAATGTAAAAGGATCCGAAAAACACGAGTCTCATACCACACAAGGGCGCTGTTGAATACGAAGGACTTGCCCGAGTCCCTTAAGACAGCACTAAATTTCTGGTTTTTTTTTTTTGAGAGAAATCATCGTCCTACAACTGCTTGTTTTGTCTCTTTGTATGCACATAGGTCCAAAACATTAAAATAGATTGTTCAAAACCCACAGCGACCCCGAAACAAATGGCTCAGGCTACCCCATATGCATGGAACATCTAAAATTAGTCTAAATTAATCATCAGCTGCAACAAAAGAACGGACAGCTTATTAAGCCAGGTACATGCATATTAATGCAAATGTCACGGTGTTGTAAATTACTTGTCCTTTTATTGTTTTTTGTTTGACAAAAATAAGGCATACAGTGTAATGTCAGTGTAACATCACATTACACTGATGTGTAGCGGGAAACTAAAACTCGGAGGATGTAATTTGGCACTTAATTGCTTTTACGCAATTTACAAAAGAAGTTATGAGCATGAATGTTTCATTTGCCTAAGGCTAATTTAGTACTGTCTCCCTGGTGGATGGTGGAATGGTGACTATGGAAGTCAGTGTTGGTGTTAGTATTGAGTGGTTGTGTTAGGGTGATTGAACTTTTGAGGATTTTTGCCCAAGCCAAATGTAACATTAATATAAATCCTTGGAATTCATGGCTATGCATGCCTAAATTGCATTAGATTTTTATTGTACCCATCTACAATTGCTTGTACTTATACAGGTAATTCCTGCTACATAAATTTTCTATAGACGTTTAATATAACAGTGGGTCGGTCGACATACTGTACATCAGGAAAATCAGTTACCTGATTGGTGGGCTCTTTCATACTAAACGTAAAAGCATTGCAATTTTTTTTTAAAGTCCATCATAAGTCTGATTGCTTTCCTATTGGGAATAGGCTCATTGATATCAGGGATGAAGTCAATGTTGTCCTGTGCGTATATAGCTATACGGAGACAAACAAATGAGCGGAGCCCTCCTTTCACAAAACACCACATCTGTTGGACACCACAGCAAGCAAATAGCAAGCTCACTGACTGATGAGCCTGATGACCAGAAACTCTAAATGTACACTGAAATTCCTTTGGGAAATTGGTGACGGTGTTAGAAAGTCTTGAAAACTTTATTCACCGAAAAATGAAAACAAAATATTTTCATGGACCATCATGCCTATTACATTTTAAAAGTGAGTTTCTTTACTTTTGCCACATCACAATAGACTCTTACTGATCACATAGCTCATGTGTGTACGTGTGTATACAACTAGTACATTGCACACTTTATGGGAAAAACAAATTTCCAACCGAATAAAGCGTTCTAACTAAGTACTTAATGAAACTGTCAAATCCATAACCTATATGCTCCAACAATCAAAAGAAGATGAAAAAGTAGACCAATTGATGCTCAGTCTTCGACTGTCTTCTTTCTTCGCAAAAAAATACACTGGACAAATAAAAAAGAAAAACTCCGAAAAAAGTGATGAGTGTCAAAATCTGAGATTCTTCAGCATAATGAGCCAGTTCGGTATTAAGGTCTTTCGGAAATAAAGTGCGCGCGAGCCAGCGCATGGTAATACGTAAAAAAAAATGCATCACACTCGCTTAACTGGTGCAAGTCTAATTTCGCTCACAAAATGCGTAGGCCTACCGCTTTCGTGCGCCCATGCCTGTCTTTGTTCGGATCGTTTTACGCGGACAGGGTTGAGCCGATCGAAAAAATTTTTAACATGTATGTACATGTAAGTAACATCGACCGTCGTTTATGTCATGTTTAACGTTAGAGAGGAATGGTGATTACCAGAATCCACATTATTGTCTAAGTAAGTACTCGCACACGTTGTTTATCTACCTAGTGAAAGATTGAGGACTTTCTACCGAATACGAAGCATCACCACCAGTGCTGTGTCACTTAGCCCCACTAACACTAGTAAGATCCTAAGGATGGATCAGGAGTGAGAGTCCGTGCCACACTGGGGCTATGTGTCACTGTGCATCATGATCATGTGGCTGTGTCAGTCATGTGTTCGTCCGTTGTCGGTTGTGCCTGTTTACCAGTTCGAAGATGCTCATTAAATTCTGTGTGCTCCGCTGCTCAACTTTTATCAAATCATCTTGATTATGATAATAACTATTATGGGCGTTTCACAATAGTGGGCCTCCAAGACTTGGCAAGAGTTTGCAACACGTTGGCCAATCACAATGTGCATGGCAAGCAAAATCTGTCAACCCAATCATGCCAATGCGCGTTTGAAAAGAGTCGACAGATTTTGCATGTTGTGATTGGCCAGCGCGTTGCAAACTCTTGGAGGTGTACTCTTGTGAAACACCTGTGTTGAACAGTGCTAGCCTTTGATGGTGGACTGGAGGAAGGGGCATGAGAGGGCAAGGGCAGACATGGCCATGGGGTGTGGGTTGCTCCTGGATGGGGTGCATGTCCTGTACATGCTGTTATCTACAACGGTGTTTCACCTCACTCAGTCACTGTGACCGTGGCTTGCAAAAATTCTTGGATGAACCCTTAAATCTGTCCGTAGGCCTACACAGACCAAAATGGAATTGCATGCCAAGCTCACAGTGGGGTGAAAACACCGTTCACGTGTCACAATGTAGCTGTAAAGGTCACAAAGCTCCCGAATGAATGCATAAAGTTATGTCGGTCCATTTTTAAAAGTAGGCCCAGGCCTACATGTACATGTATACACGTACAGTACTCTATCAACAGCTTGCTGAAGACATGGAAGACTAAGAGAAAAAGAGATGAGCAAAGCGAACCGCAGACAAACCAAAAACCTCTCAGCCAACCAGCGACGAGATGCTCAGGAGAGGAAACGAGATGAGAGGGCAATTCGCAACGGTTACAGGTGCTAACATTTCATCAACTCTATTTTTATACCCCATCAGTATTGCTCATTATCATCCCTGTCCGCATCAGTTCTTGAAGGTCACAAGTTTGAATTTTGTAAATTTCGTTTTGAGACTTGGTTTCCTATATCTGTGTGCATGAGCCTTTAAAAAGAATTTGCCTTGTTTTTACAATGCCACATACCGCATGTAGTTTTAGGAGGGATGGACATTTTTATACAGGATGTAAATCTGTTGGGCTGTCGACCAGGGTTTCAAGGGAGAAGGTGGCTGCTTACCTCAGCTAACATGGAAGTAACATGGCTTCAAATCTGTACCTTGCATAAAACCCAGAAAGATATGTCATGGCTTGTTGTTTTGGTTTCCCTGAGATGAGATTAAGCACTTTTATTTTGGAATAATTTTGTTTAATAAAAACAAGCTTAGTTATTCGCAGGGACAGTGAAGTGATGTGCATAACTTGTTTGTGTTTCATTCCCCCCCAGGAAACAGCAGAGAGATGCATCATACCTTGCAGATGATGAGAACTTTGCAGGCTTCGCCACTCAGATTCAGACGGTGGGACTAGAACTGAGAGATGTACCAGGGGATGGGTAGGTGGCCAGTTGGCTGTACATTTCTGGTTTAAGTTGCATTCAAGTTAACCTCTTCAATACTGGTGACACATTCAGCATAGACAAATCTAAGTTGATATCAGAGCTACAGTTGTACTACACTTAAGAGCACATAATATGCATTCTTTATATCTGGGTCCAGATAAAGTATTTAGAGACTGCCAGTTTCCAATTAAGTGCAGATCTGGGTTCTCATGGTCATGGGAAATCCTGAAAAAAAAAAAAGGCCAAGGAGTTTATTGAAAAGTCATGGAAAATTGTGGAAAAATGGTGTCCTGGAATCCTGTTGGAGGGAAAAAAGTTATTGAAAAGCAAAGGAAATCAAGATCATGCAACTTGCAAGGGTTTTATTTTGATGCATCGCTTTAGATGTGATGGCGCAATAGTGGTAACTACAGGCTTTGTCAGTCAGTAGTAGTGGCTATGGCTGTCTTCTGATTGGTTCATAAAACGAAACAACTTTTCTCTGCATGATTTGCATTTGCTTCAGTAGTGATTCTAAATAAGGTGGTTCCAAATCCATAAAACTCATACGTAAGTCTTGTAGTCATAGAATCGGTCTTGATTTATTTGATGAGCCTTCTTTTTCAACCAGTAACTGTCTCTTCCGGGCCCTGGGTGACCAAATGGATGGTCACGGACGGAACCATTTGAAGCACCGAGCAGAGACGGTGCAGTATATCCTTGAACACCGAGATGACTTTGAGCCATTCGTTGAGGATGATGTGCCATTTGACAGACACAGTAAGACATAAACGAGAGCCAAACAATACATGTATTTAAAAAAATGTTTGGACAATTGTTTCTCCCCCTCTGTTAATTCTCACATTTCAAAGCAACAATTTTACTGCAGAAAGCTTTTGTCAATACAGTAATGAAAGTCATGAATTTGAATTTTCCATGTGTATATTAAAATATTTTCCGGGTAATAGCTTAGTAGAACTCTTCAACCCCGTTTGGACATGGCCGTCACTTTTAATTGTCAGGATTTTGTAATGGGCAAAAGTTGGCATTGGACAAGCAGCGTTCTCAGCTGTAATATGAAGGACATAAATAACATTTTGAGAAAATAATCTGCCCTAGAGATTACATGTATTTTCAAGCAAGCTGTATGAATGACTTTTCAGTAAAATATCCTGTAGTGCAGGAAAGCTTTTCTTTTTTGTCTCTTTTTCCAGTTGAGAATCTTGCCAAGTCTGGTACCTATGCCGGAAATGACAGTATTGTAGCATTCGCACGCAGGCACGGCCTCAACGTGGTCATACATCAACTGAATGCACCAGACTGGAAGGCGAGTGTATCCATCACTCCTTTTTGTGCACGTTTACAGAGTAAAGACCTCTGAAAAACCATACTCGGGATTCAGCCAGTTGACTAGTCCAATCTTATCTCAGCAGTTCCTTTGTCACATCATTGGTCAGTTACTATTTACAGCTGGGTTCTGTTGATATTTCCACTGTAAGTGTACATTTCCACCTCTCGAAATGCTTCAAGACAGCTTACAGTCCATTACAAAGGGTGATCTGATCCCCTCCACAAATATGGAAAGAAGATTCACGGAAGTTACTCTTTAACCACGGAGAGCGTCTAAATGCAACTTGTTTCAGGCATGTTTTCCCTCATCCTGTGATTTTTTCTCAGTCCTTCACACCCCTTGCACCTTGAAATTCTTCCACAGGTAAGTGGGTCCGACAGGCCAGAGGCTAGAGAGCTTCATATAGCATACCACAATGGGGACCATTACTCCAGTGTGCGGAAATTTGGGGACAAGTCGCAAGAGCCAACCAAATTCAAGGTAAAAGTGTCATCCATCCAAGGTGGCATTGTAACTATTTAAATGGACCTTGTTGTTCCCTGCTTGTTAGACTCAATGGAGAGAAATACCAGTACATCACCGGTATCCACCAGTTCATGTGTTAGAACTCTGTGGTGTGCACTTTTCAGTTGAATGTGTGTGGTCCTGCATTTTCTCTCTGCTAGAGGAATGCAGCTGACGGTTAGTGTAAGACGGACATATCGTGTAGTGGGTTTTAAAACCAATGTTCTGTGTTTCACAGCTTTTTGCAACCTGGAAAAAGGCACACTATGGGGGAACTGGCAAAAAAGATAAGAAACAAAACTCACTTAACTAAACCAAGGATATTCGCAGAAAAAGTCACAAGAAACTGAATTAACAGGGACTCAAATACCAGTATTTGACTTAACAAAAAAGGACAACAAAAATTTATTAATTTAAAGTACCAACAAAATGCAAAAACCAAAAGGACTACAAGCTGAAAAGACTTAACCCCAAGAGACGGAAACCGACATAGCGTGTCATAGTAGATCTCGTGAGAATTTTGGCTTTCAATCACTGACTTTAGAAGCAGACAGAAACCTGACTTGAGCAGAAAATTATACTCCAGCGAGGAGGAACACATACATGAACAGTGACAGTGTCTCTGCTGGTCTGCTCTCCAAACTAAGTGTGGTCAGAGTACAGGGTCAAGTTGAATAGGTAGAAGGGCCAAAGTAAATAAACAGGGGGATACTCTAACAGAAAAATACAGGGGAAATCTGATCTAAAACTGGATTTGTTATAGGGGAACTACACCTATGAAAAGACGTATATTCAACAACCAACTCATTTCTGGCTCTGCCACATGTGCAACAACTTTTTGTACAGGGTCCATTGAGTATCATGTCAAGTCAAAGAAAAAGATTCACACATCAAAGTAATTGATGCTTGTAGTGGTCTTCAGTAATTTTTTGGGAATTTCCTTATTGCTGTTATTGACAGATTCAACTGTTACAATTTGCAATTTACATTTGCAATGCAATCGGTCATGAGAAAAACCGCAAATTTCTTATTGAGGCTCTTACCCGTATTGTGACTGTAGTCCTCAGATCCAAGAAAACATGTGGACAGCAGAGAGAAGACCAAGCACAAAGACACAAATGACCATTCTTCTTGTGGTGCCTCTGCTGGCAATGATATCACAGTGGACAGGGCCTGGAGTAATGGCAGCATGGACGATATGGTTCTACGCATCATGGATGCCACTGGGTGTCAGGTAGCCTACTATTAAGAATAGCATTTAAATATATATATATAGTACAGTTCAGTGCCATGACCCGGAAAGGTATGGAACAGAACTTGACTTCTGAGCTCAAAACCACAAACATTCCCCATCTGAACTTTAGCTGAACTATGGCATCGGCTGAGCCTCATACATGTAGCTGTCCCGAATCAGTAGACAGACATGCTTCAAGAGGCCTCATTAGTAGTCTTAACAGGCAACTCACATCCATGTTGGTTGATCCTAGTCTTGGAAAGTTTGGTCTTGTATCTATGCCAGTCACAGCATGCTGTGCTCTGATGAAAGCAAATACGTAAAGCTACAAAGAAGCACAATGTGTTATCCACTCGTCCCATTCCAAGACTACACAGCACCTTTGTAAAATTATGCAAGATCCCTTAACTGTCCTGGGCTTGTCCTGTACAGGATGCTGGTCTTATCAGCGACACCTTGGAGGACAACCAGTACGATGTAGAGGCAACCATCGACTTTATTCTGCAATTTTTACAAGAGGATATTCAACCTGATGGTAAGAATTGACAGTGTTGACTGAAGTTGGATCAAACCCTACGGTCGTCACAGAGCCACATCGCTGTTCTACTGATATTAGTTGTTTTGAAAGGAACAAATTTAAAACAAAATCGACAAAACCATACAATGCACATAAAATACACAACATCAGATATAGTGTAGAATACCACAAGTCCACAAAGTTGATGTACGTACATGCCTACTTTCAACCAGCAATGTGTTTTAAGAGATGCACATTAAGGGGTGCAAGGTTGTTAGTAGTCACCCAGTCTTAAGCCATGACATTTAAGTATTCAAACTGTATCAAGAACATCAGTTAGTCATCCATTTCACGTTGCTGTGTGAAAGGACTTGTGATAGGACTCACAACTGAACCTGAGACAAGCTCAAGTTGACTGCAGCCTTGATGAGTTTACATCTGAAAATGAAGAGAGACTCAAGTTTAGGTCGACATCCCTTTACGTAGCATCACAAAAATCATGGACATATGGTATGTTGGTGTGAGATGTAAGAGAATGTCTCACTTGCTAACACAGAATACATCTTCTTTCTTTTCTGAAGATCAAACAGCGTCCAAAGACGCTACCGGAAATCCTGAAAGCAGCATCTGGTTGCCAGGAGGCACAGGGTCTCGCCTCTTTGGCGTACCTGTCGAAGGAGACTCGAGGATAACCCAGCCAAACAGAACACATGGTAGAGGAAGAGGGAGGGTGAGTATCAGGAGTTGGAATAACGGGCATAAGACAAAAAGATTGCCTCTGACATGCAGAGGCTATTACAATAAGAGCAAGGGGTAATCTATCAAGAGTCGACAGGCTGCAAATTTATTGCAGTTTTTGCTGACTCAACATACGTCTCTAGTTGTACAGAGTGATTAAAGTGAATCCATGTTCTTGAAATACTAAATGCATTGGATCAGCTGGAAAGGCAAACGTTACTGAAAATAGCACTCCGGCAGAATCCAAGGATTGAACATTACTGATCATCGTCATGACTGTTGTGTGACAAAATTTTCAGCTGCAGGTTATATTTACATGTAACACATCCATAGCCATTAGTGGGTTAAGGGTGCTATGCAGGGTGACTCTAAAATCCCATTTTAGAAATATGAAACTGAAGCAAACTTCTAACACCCACAATAACAACCTTAATATACACATCATGTTTCGATTTTAGCAGAACCTTTCTGAAAGAGAAAATTCACGTGTTCCTGTAATCCATGCCTCATGCTTTGGTCCCTTTTACAAGTTAATTACGGCACATTCTGACATGACACATTTACTTTTCAGGGTCAACGGCCGGCCGTCAACAGCCGCACTCTGAAGCAGCTGAAGAGGGCAGAGAAGAAGGAACGGCAGACGGAGAGGCACAAATTGAAAGTATTGGGCATTCAAACAGAGAACAGGGACGAGCATGACGAAGACGCTCAGAGCATCGTGTCTGTTCCCATTGGGCAGATGGGAGCTCTCTCGATATGATAGTTTGGAGCAGGTTACCTTGCACAGACTGTTTTGCATTTCGCAAGCTGTTGAATGGCATTAAGATTACTCCAGTAGTCACACAGTGTAATTGGGTCTTGGAGCTTTGCAGGCAGTAGGATCACTGTGGAATATTGAGAGTGGTGCAACTGGTATAAATTTGCACTCAGTCAAGTGAAGATCTAATGCATCACTGAAGACTTCACACTTTGACCAGCTGACACAACATACCAGTAATTTGTTGAAGGCGCAACATTTTTTGCGCAGGCTGGAAAATTTCCAGTGTGCATCATCCACTGACATGCAGGTCCAGTTGCTGAGGCTTACATTCTGCATAGGATCTCCTGTGCTTCTTTGTACTAGGAAGGAAAAATAATGACATTTATAAAAGTGATCTATGGAGTTTGAAACTGATATTTACCAATGCATTGTACAGGTATATTTTCAGATGATAATAAAAGTATGATGGTTAAACACAACACAAAATGCCAGCTATACTTTGTTTTATTGATTACGTCAAAGCATTACTCAGAGGACAGTTTGTAAATGGATACAGATCAACAAACGTCCATTATGCAGCACACACCGAGGTAATATCAAGGCGTTTGCACGGCTAAAACATGTGTAAGTACAAGTAAAACACCGTTTTTCAAAAGAACGTGTCAACTCGTACAGACCAAGTACTCTGCCCTCGGTGAGTTTTGGAACATCATCAAGGTGACGTCCAGAGCTCTTGTGAGTCTAGATCCACACTGCTTCGACTGTTTATTCTACAGGAACATCAGATAGCATTTTTTTTTTGCATGGTGGTTAGAATTCCCTAAGAAGTTTCTGGAGTTAGTACCAAAGCAGTGTTTTGACATGCAAAGTCTGACATGCTGGGGCCAATTTTACAGAGATGCTTACGCATAAAATTTGCTGATGCATGAAACAACCTTCCTTAAACAAAGGTCACCAGTTCAAACTCTATCTGATTGTCATGCTAACCCAAAGACAGGTACATGTAAATACGATCCTAAAACAATATACATGTACATCACAGGGAGTTTTGGCTGGTTACCTGATTTATCAAGCAAGGTTTTCTTGCACTTTAGCAGCTCTACGAAATTGGCCCCTGATTTCCAGTGTCTGCAACATACATGTAGCTACTTTGCGAATGGCACATCCACATCATTGTTAGCAATTTCATCAATACAATAAAATGGAATGGATAGCAAGAAAATTAAGTCATTTAAACTTACGTTTGAAATATACATGAATATATGACAAGGGTTACACTTGTCTAATTCTGACTCAAATCATACATGTAGACACAACCGTTCAAAAATATGTCTAATACTTAAAAACAGCAACAATGATTTAATTATCGGCAATTATTAAAGGCATAATGTCAATTTACACAAGTTTGAGTTAGTAGCTTGTCATCTATCCTCTGAATTAAACCTACACTTTGCAGTGAATTGAATACTTGAACATTACACCACATGAAACCATCCACTGATCTACATGAATACCAATCCTGTATCTGGAACATTACAAAATGTCTCTGGCAAGATCTAACTTGTTCATTTCGTAATTTTTTTGTTCAAAAAGCAAAATTGTTGTGTTTTCCGTAAAACTTTCCAACAGGGTATTAACATTGGCTTTGAAAATGTCAATGATATTTTATTCTGAAATGGGATTTATCAGACAAGCAATAACATGTACATATACATGTTTGCACTTCTCAATCGATGACCATCATACATGTAGATGTACATGTACAAAGCTGTGCTCCAATGTAATCAGGTACACTTTAGTATCACTTTTAAGTACTGCAGTTTTTACTGAACTTGCCATTTCAAATATGACTGTTTTTTGGTTTTTATGAGTATTTCCATGAAAATGAGCAAAATTGTAATGTCATTGTGGGATGAAAGCCTACATGCAGATGTTACAATGATTCGTGCACAAAATGATAGCTTTATGCTTTTAAATTTTTCTAACCCAAGTTTTTTCATCTTTAGCAATTGATTAAGTTCACTGCAATAAGCAATGAAAAATCCCTTCCAAGAAATGTTTGCAGTGGGTAAAACCTGGCCTCAAGCTTTTGAATAGTAAAACCTATGTCTTTCCTGGATAACATCACAGGAACAGAGCCCTCAGTTGTCCAGGAAAGTTGGATTCAAGTGTTCATAAAAGTGCACTTTTCAATACATTCAACCTAGGAATGTCAAATAATTTTCACAGATTGTAGAACTTTAAAAATATATTTTGTCTAATAAAAATCCATTGCTGCTACACCCTCAAGATGACTTGTGTTGGGCTTGCATGGACTTGTGATGGACTAAACCTACAGTCCTCTGTACCCATTACCATGGATGCTGGTGGGGAAAAAAAAAGAACCTGATCAGCCCAGCTTGAGATGCTCGTAGTACTTGGTGATCATCTTGGTGACTTCCTCCATCAGCACTTTCCTCTTGGCCTTGTCCTCTTCACACTCCCCCGCCTTTTCCTGGATTTTGTCCGGGTGGAAGTCCTGGCACGCTTTCAGCAGGAGCTTCTTGCGAGCCTTGCGGACATCCAAGTCCATCTTCTCTGGACATTCCTCGTTCTTCTTCAGCTCTTCCAGATGCTTCTGGGAGAACTTTGGGGTCTTGGGAGGGGAGTGATGCTTGTACAAGTGCTCCAGGAGGCTACTAGCACTTGTATTGGCCTTCTCAAGGGCAGCTAGCTCATCTTTTAAAGCATCCAGGAACTAATTAGGAGAAAAAACAACAACAACGACAAAACTTGTCATTTACGAATTTTACTAGCTCCCCCCCCGGCTGGTATAACTACTCATACAAACTTTCTCTGTCTCTGAAGCCAAATCCATGCAAACGTGGTTAGAGTCCTCAACAGGAACACATTTTAGGAACGAAGTCAAAATGTCTTCGACAGTAACATGAAACTCACCCCAAAGGCAACAAGAGTATTACCCCAGTTCACAAACCCTACCTACCCAAAACTCAGATATAGTGTCACCTTCAATGTTAGTACCACTTACATTTAGGTTTTATCTTGCATTTCAACAAGTGCCAGTTCTCTCATTGACCAATATGTAAAATGCAAACCTGCCATTCCTTTTATACCACCATGACGTCAGGTGTCCAGCAATATTGCTGAGAGAAATGAGCTACATGTAAGCAATGTTGCACAGTGTAACACAGCAGCAAGTAAAGAACATTCTAAATGCAGCCAAAGAAAGTTCATCGAGATTTGGGGCAGGGATCACAATTACATTTCTTGTTATGAGTTTAAATTTTGTATATATTTGAATGCATTCTGAAAACACTGCATTTAAGAAATCAGAAAGAATTTTGAAACAGAGCAAATTGAAATTTACTTACTGCATTAGTAAGTTTGAACATAAATTCAAACACAGGTTGATTAACCACTTCACACTGAATGGTATCTACATACACACAGGTATTCTCTGTGTGGAGAACTGGTAAACACCTGATAACGAATTCTGCCTTGCAATGTCTAAATTTATTCTCATCCTTGTTCAATTCCAACTGAGTTTGCACACACAGAGACACTCCAAAGTGGCTTTAGGGGTCGAGCACGTTTGTTGCCAAACACAGCTGTGGCCATGGCCGGGCACAGTAACAAATACCACTTTGCAACACAGTTTCTGAAATTGGATAGAGCAACAATGCGGTGAGAAAAGTCGCAAAAATACTTACTGGCCTCTGAGGGTCTGCATTTGTAAAGTCCAGCTTTGTGAAGGACTGTTGTGGTCGGTATATATGTTTAAAAAGTTGTTATTTTGGATTGAAAATCATCCCAGTCCGGGGACAAGAGCAATATGGAATGATATCATCTGCAAGTAGTCAATATGAAAAGTATTTTCTTTGCATTTAGTCTTCTGTGTGGATGGATGCCATGCTGGTTTCATTTAACATGTACAATACTCTCACACCTGCATGGCCATACATTGCATGAAAATATGTTTTTATTGCCTTGGGACAAGACTGAAAGTACTTTCCAAGATTGCAAACAAAATTTATCATTTGTAACTGTCTTTTAAGCAAACAGCCTACAACTCTTTGTTCATCCACAGGATGCGGTGGAAACATAACCAAAAACCAAAACCCACGAACAGCAACCCGCAAACCCCAAACCACACTACACTACACCATATGTACATGTACATGTAAATCTCGATTATCTGACCTTTCGTCTTATCTTCTGCTGGGCTGCTTCATCTCTGCTCCGCTCTCTATTCTGGATGACCTGATAGCCCTGTACACACTGCTGGTACCACTTTTCTGTCAGGAACGTCTTGGGCTGAGCGGCATCGACGAGTTCCAGGCACCGCTTGTAGTAGCCCTTGGCCTTTGTCACCGAAAACAGCACCTTCTCGTTGATAAGGCCGAGGAAGCTGAGAGCAGCCGCCTCCTGCTCAAGGTCCAGTTCAGCTGCCTGCAGAGGGAAAGAGAGCAGCAACAACCAGTGCTCTGACCTATGACCTCCAAGGCTGCAGGTCCAACACAAAACCCTTTGGCAGGTCCAAGCAGTCACAAGGCCAGTCACAAGTAACAGGATGGCCAATGACAAACGTTAAGCTTCTGTAACAGTTCACTTCAATAGCTTGTGACTTGGCTTGAGGCCAGAATTCTGGCAATGGAATTTGATAGACTTGTAGAGTACTTAACTGGTGAGAGTTTGTGATGGACTCGGATTAAAATAAAGACTTCAATTTGAATTTACCACTGACTTATCAAGTGCTGCATCCTAAACCTCTTCTAAAAGGAAGAAATTAACCTGTAAAAGAACAATACAGTTGACCCTCGTTATTATGAAATCCTCAGGACCACGTAGAAACATTCATTGTATCCGAAATTCGTTGTAGGCGGAACACAGAGCAATGGCTTCGGTGCATTGTTGTACAATACCATGTACATGCACGTGTATGCATGTATGTGCATACCAATGAACGCGTGGTTGATGTTACATCAAAAAGATCTCTTGGTTATAATTAATCAAATATACTGTGATGTGTTTCGAATAATAAAATTCAGTGTCACATGAAAACATGTTTAACGTGCATGTGAGATTAAAAAAAGCAAATACACGTACATGTGAAAGCATCGACCCAGGGATTTTTAAAAGGCTTTCAATCGCCATGGATGACAACGAAGCTAAACGGCATGCACATGTAGGCCTGTGTGTACCTTCAAGAATGTGAAGACTCATCAACTGGAGCCTCCATTCATGTGAGTAGTCTTTCCAACACAAATTGTGTCATGGAGAGACATTTTTATTAAATTTTCTGTCTGTCTTATGATTTTTGACACTAGTTGCATGACACAATTGATCGATAGTCCGAGTTCATTCGCCCACTGTGCCACGGCTGCCTGCGTGCGAGATGGTTGCTGAAGGAGCATGATGTAATGAAGGAATATGGCGATTGGATAGTTGTGTCTCGCAAAGGTATGTCATGAAAACGCACAGTCTCATTGGCCGGTACACTAGATAATTTTGGAGCAACATGAATAATGCAGTGTTGAGCGATTAGTTCGGCTCATGAGATGTGAGAGAAGTCAAGCGAATTAAATTTGGCCGTATTTTTGACATAAGACCAATTTTTGTGAAGAACCTACACAAAATTTGTGACGGCAGTATGTTTTTGACTTGCAACAGTAGAGCTGCATTCGTATAGGATGTACATGTACTGGAACACTCGCAACCCTTTTTGGCAGCAACTGTACATTGACTGGTTGCCGCATTTCCCTCATGCCTTCTTTGGCAACGGTTCGGCCCGGCAGGCACCAGTGTGATGCACTGCGCACATGTTTTCACCGCTGCGATTTGCAAATGTTCGTTAAAAATGGGTCGTCAACAATGGTTTTGCAGGCAACGGAGTCACAAAAACCATTCGTTGTAACAGGAATTTCGTACAATGCGATTTTGCTGTAACAGATTTTATCTCCATAGAGATGTGCACGACTCGTGTTTGCAATAACCCGAATTTAGTTATAGCCGATTTCGTAATAACGACAGTCGACTGTATCTGGCTGAAGCCATGAAAGCTTACTTTTAGGCTGGCTTCCTTAAACCAGTCCACAGCCTCCCAGAGGGCAGTCATGTTCAGATTCTCCTCCTGGTACAGGCTTTCCAGAATCTTCTCACCACACGTCCGTGCCTGGACTGACTCGGCCGTTGAAATGTGGTAGAGAGCATCCTGCTTCAAGACCCGGAGGTCTGACTCAAGATCCTGGGCTTCCTGGTCCAGGTTCCATCCTCTCAGGAGGCTCAGTGCCTCTTCCACTGGCTGATGTAGGTCATGCAAGCACTTCAGGCACTCCCTGTAGTCACCTCCCTCAAGTAGGCGGATGGACTCTTTGAAGAGGATGTCAGCGATGTTGTGCTTTGCCCTAGCTTGGACCAAACCGGCAGGCAGGGTGCCAACAACCTGGTACAATTCTCGCAACCTCTCCTTGACATCACTGAGGCTGTCGATGATCTCTAGGACTGCATAATAGGACAACTCCATCTCCTTCCGGAGTTTCTCCTCCCACGCCCCGCCATGGACATCGCTCCCCCTCAGCAGAGCCTGGCTCATATACTTTAAGGACTCTTTGAACAGCTCCAGCGCAGCAGCCTCATCTGTGCTGCACCGTGCCATTCGTTTTGTGGCCATGCCACAGTTCTTGGTGGCAGATGACCAATCTGCTTGTTTCGCAGGACCATCAGCCAAGTTTGCAGCCCTGGTGTAGAGCTGTAAGGCATCGTCTAGCCTTGACCTTTTTATGATTGGTGCTATGCCATCCTGCAGGGCCTTTTGGTACATTATGTTGCCCTTTTCTCTGAACTGGGTAGACATTGACTTGCCACTTATAGAAGAACCTGATGCTGTTGCTGTGGTATAAAAATAAAATTCAAACATTTATGTACAGGTAGATTTAATTAACTGCCTGCATAACAGTACCTAATTCACTTTAAACTACCACCACACGGCTTGGTACATGTATAAACTCTTATTGCAATTAATGTAGCAAGTGTTATTAACTTTCCCCAATCCTACTATAGGTGTGAATGTCATCATGATCATAGTACTTCAAAGTCTTGGCTCCTTGTGGATTGTAATTTATAATTTAGCATTGAAGCTAATTCAAGCCAAGAATGCAACATGCTTTTGCACATCTCCTAAAGCAAGTGCCCACTGAGACAAAATTGACACCATTTTGAAGCTCTTGAAATGGCCTTCATTCATAAAATAAAATCAACATTAACCCACATACTCTATCAAAGAAAAATTATGCAAATGTATGACCTTAGACCTTAATTTGTTAAAATACAAATTTATCAAAATTTTTTTATTGTGAGCTTAAGATGTAACTTACCTTTCCAGAAAGATTGATTTGAACCTTGGCAAAAGCTGAAAATGTTATTATATGCATTGTACATGTGCAGTGTAATGTACATGTACACATGTATGCGTTATTAGGTATCACACAAACGCGAGAGGAACAATGTGCTAGCACGCATAAAAATGTTACCCTGGTAGTACACAGTATAATTCATGACATGACTCATGAGGTCATCCCTCTCAGAGTTAATAGCCCCAGAGTTAACACGTTTTGAGCCAAACAGGATAGTTTTTGTATTTCTTGATGGTTGCATATGTACACCCATATTCAAAGTCTCAAGCTCATTTTTTCAAACATTAATTTTACTTACCTACCGACAGTGTTTCCCCAGCTGTGTCTGTAAGAAGCAGCTCAATATTTTACAGCAAAAAAGGACTTTAAACATGTTCACCTTTATCTCTAACTGGTAAGTTAAAAATATTGGTTGTGCACTTGTGCATCACTGCCAAACTCACCATTCCCTGAGTTCAAGTCATTCAAAAAACAGTTTAGATCAACAAATTGGCCTTTTCATACGTATAAAGAAGATGTGTCCTCAAAACAGAAGAAGTCACATACCAGTGGGCCTGTTAAGGGGTACTTCATGAAAACCACTCTTGGCTGTAGACTCAACATGTGGTGTTTTTGCTTGGTCCTGTCGTCTGGCTGAGTCTGCTCTGTCATTCCGTGGATTGCTACAGGTTGCAGTCTCGACGTCTGGTGATGAGTCGGTCCGACTTCGGCCATTTGAGGATTTTTGTCTATCCTTTTCCAACTTCTTTGTGGGTGCTGCGAACGCGTCCTCACTGCATGCCTGAAAGGAGCCCCGTCTTGCAGGGGGAGGGGAAACTGGCCTGTTGGCAGATCTCTTTTTCCGGGGCATCTTTTGATGGCACTCTGATGAAACAGCAGACAACATGTCTCATTAGATACCGGTACATGTACAAGTATACATGTATATGCAGTTACATGTATACCTCGGTGGGGGGAAGCAGGAAGTAGGAGGGTTTGGAGTGAGGAAGAGGGTGCAACAGGAAATCACTTGCATGTCAAAATCTGGACAGCCTGGATACCTGTAAGAGAGGTATTTTTAAAGTACAGGGATTTATCACTGGTGTCTATGTGGGAATTTGTTTACTGGGGTACACCCTAAGCCTTTCTCATTGTCCAGAGTTCTTTATTATATGGCCAGTCTTAATAAACCACTGGCTAGCTGTGCACCACACGGACTCATGCAGTACATGTACATGTTCACCAGTCTCCATAGCAGATAATTCACAAGAATATACCAAAATTGAAAAAATAAATAACATAATTTAAAAAAACGAAGTACCGGTAACACTGTTGGAATTTTTTTAAATGTTATGACTTTGTGACACAAGAGGTACATGTACATGGTATTTATGAATGGGAATTAAATAATAATGTCCACCGCCTTTGGCTTGGGTGTTATCAGCATCTTTGTCTTGATTTATCTGGTTAAGACCAGCCACAATACAAGAAGGGGAAGGTTTGCATTGTAACAATACCGGCACTGTCAAATTTAATTTTTAGACCAAATGCCCAAGGAGTGTCAGGTCTTTGAAAGGTAAAACAGCTTTTCAAAACTTAACAACTGAAACTGTAAATTTTTGCATCCTAATCAAAGCAAACACTATCCACCCCTCATGGATATCACAAGGGGTGGGGAACATTTGGGGCACCCCCCCAACCCCCCCCCAAAAAAAGGAAAAAAAGGTGAAAAAAAAATAAACATAAGAGATAAAAATCACCACTTCGCATGAAAAACCCCAAACTCTCATGTTATGTGTTTGTTAGTTCATAACAGATGAGTAGTCCCTCCCCCAAACCCCCATCTCCTCTCTCCCTCTCCTCTCCCCCTCCCCCCGTGAAAAATTGAAACAAAAAATTGACAATCGTCCTAAGCTTGAATTTAAATACATACTGGTACATGTACACAGCACATCAGGGTAGAATGTAGGATTTTATGCATGTTATAAGTACATGTATCTGTTGCATCTGAAATTAAGTGGACGAATTGCAATTGAGTAATTTACATTTCAAAACATGTGTTGCACATCATAGAGAGTTTTCCGGGGTACTGGGTACTTCTTCCAGAACTATCAAGGTTTATACAAACCTCTATGCAAACTCCTATAAGCAAGTGGCTGTTTTCTTGCGAGCAAATTTCATACATGCCTTCTTGGTGAAGTTAGATGTCAGATGAGGAGGTTTATTGATCTTATAAAATGGTGAAATTCCGGAGCATTTTGCCCATCCACACTACCACTGACTACAGAAAATCTGCAGCATGAACTCTCCATGACTGTCAGCTGTGTCATAGCTTGACCAATCACAACACTATCTTTTCCTTTTGATTTCCGGACCCCATCCAAATGAAAGCTGAGCTGTGATTGGTCGTTGGAATGGATGCAAATTGAATTAATCACAGAACACCTTTCATTTGTGGGTGACGGGAAAACAAAAAGAAAAGACAGGAGCTGTGCTGCAATTGGTAATGCTATCACACAGCTGACAGTTATTGAGAGTACATGCTGCTGATTTTCTGTAGAGTGAATGGGCAAAATGCTCAAGAATTTCACCATTTTAATGAGGATATAAGGTAAATAAACCTCCCCATCTGACCTTTAACTTCACCAAAAAGGCATAATGTATGAAACTGGGTTGCACAAATAGCTGTGGTGGAAGATTGAGTTGGCACAATCAGAACAACCAAGATGAGCTGTGTTGAGGAAGCCTAATGGGAGTTTGTACATTGTACATGTATATGGCTATCTGCAACGCATAAACCTTACAGTTCTGGAAGTACATGTACATGAGCAGTTTTCTTGAAAATCACAATGCAATCGTGATTTCCACTTAATCATAATGAAAGTGCAATTTGTAAATCACAATGAAATCAAGATTTACAAGTTTAGGCCTAGGCCTATTGCCTAGCATTGTAGCAAGGCCTAATCAGTAATCGCACTGAATAAAATTGCAATGGAGGGATCACAAGATTACGGTACCTGGATTACTTTTTCAAGTTTTTGTTGTTTCAGTTGGAAATCTATGATCAGAAAACCAAATTCACCCAGTAGTTGGGTATTATTTCCAGTTCTCGTATTAATTCAAGTTCTGCTCGTTCACTGTTGTTGTCTTGAACGCATCTACGTCAAGGGAGGGAGCACAACATGCTATCAGAACACGCGCAACACACGCAACACGTATATGGTGGCCGCCCATACGCCATGTAAGTTCTAGGCCAGTAGACGAGGCCGCATGCCAGTGGGACAAGTTACGATAACGTTAATTCGAATTCTTGTCCGGAGCCCAGTTTACTACATAACTGTGATATATATTACTTACAATTAATATTAGCCTATGATGTCAGAGCTGGGGATGCCAATATATCGGGAAATTCTGGTTAGTTTTTGTACTCCTGAAAGAGCTGCAGGGGTTGTACCTGTCAAAGGTTCCGAGTCAACTCAGGGTGCAGTGTCCCAATTCAAGGAAAATTCTCCGCCAGGCCGAGGCGCAGAAAAAGTACCCCCCA